TCTTACTTTTTGAAATGGTGACAGAATATATATATATATATATATATATATATATATATATATATATATATATATATATATATATATATATAACGAGATTCCAAGCTGTACAAGTGCTGCCACATCCTTCCGTTCTATTTGTCACTGGTTGGTCACTCATCTCTGTTATTTCTAGCCTGAGGATACGTAGCTCTCTCTTTTACGTTGTCTATACTCTTTCCCTTCGGCATGAATGAGTCCATAACTCTGCTGATTGTGACAATATGCTCTGTGCTTTACCGATGAAACTAAGCAAATGATATATTTACTTTAATGGAACTGTTAGATATTTGACTGTATGATTTCGTCTATTTAAACCCACACGTATTCCCTTTTGGTTGTATCAAAACTCGTTTATTTTACTTTTGTTCAGTACACGATAAGTAAACTTGTCTTTCAATAACATACACCCGATATAAAAACCATGTGACATTGCGTATATCATCAATATCCAAATGATATAATTAGGGCTTACCAATACCACTACAGATCACTGTTATTATCATGATTTGGGAAACATGCCATTGCCACACAAAAGCCTGCCCCCCTTGTGAAAATCCCACTCTTCATTTAATAGATTATATAGAATATAATGCTGCATCAGAAAGCTTTAAGACTAAATCAGAATGTATCAAAGTGCAGTATTACATTAAATCATACTGAAATTCATAGTTGCTTTTGCTGAGACAGTTAATGGTAAAGGTAAATGATACAATGTCCGAATTATATCCATGGAACGGCGTCAAGGGATTTGTCATCTACGGTAGAAGTTTCTGTTCATGGCTTCGTGTCTTTGTTCACTGTAAAAAATCTGAAGAGTAAAAGCAAAAAAATATATTTTAATGAGTTGTCATCTCAAATGAGATAGGAGGTATGTTCAGAAATGCCAGTTTTCTAGAGTGCGTTTGAAATAAGGTTTCACATAAAATTTACTCTTAAAATATCACTACACATTACCACTTAATTGGAGAACGCCCTTGTTTTCTTGCTCCTTGATTTCCTCTTTAAGCTTCTTTAGATCTTGCAGAAAATGCTAAAAGAAAAACAGAACATATTTACTAGAATTTCGGTGATTAATATATTTTATTTTTCAGCTCTCTATATTATGTCGACAATATTTATGACCAATTATCAATTAAGCAACCTGGCCTTTTAACGACGGTGCTGAATTTTTTGTGGTCCACATTTTTACTTGGATAAAATTTTTACATAAATAATCGTGCAAAATTATAAAACATAGATTTCATAGCGTGCGTGCTGGTAATGTTTTGAACAAGTGCACACTGGAATCTGTTAGTTCTTTTATTAGTCAGTAGACGATTATCTCGGCATAATACATGTAACTAATTTTCTGGCAATAGATGTCACTCTCAGTAGCTCCGCCAGAATCGTTGGCATACAATGCTGCCGTATTTTCATTTTGCTTCCGAGTCAATATACCGCAAGGCAAACAATGTGCGTTGGATTATCACCAAGGTACATCCAATATTAATCCGTTAAGAGAAATACGATCCATAAACAAATTTTCAAACACAAGTTTAACATTTTTGTCATCGAAAATGGATTAAGGCCGGTGATAGGGTTAAATACGCTTAAAATCATTTTTTTTAGTTTTTTGTGTGTTTATATTAATCAAAAAAGTATCTAACGTTGGATGTAATAATTTTTATGAATTTGCATCGCAAAATGCGTCTTTTGATGAGTTTTTCAACCGGCACGCACCCCAGTCAGGCTGACAACTAAGCCACGCCTCTGTTACTAAGGGCCGTTGCCATGAGGGGGTCGGAGCACAGTTAATGAGTTATAAGCCGATTACGTGTGCGGTAATAGGTCATAAGTCTTACATCAGCTAAGCAGCGAAGAAGTCTAGCTAGTACACTATGGGGAAGAGAAAAGTTCGTGTTAAAAGTCCCTTTCCAGAGGAAAGAAGGAAAATTTTGAGAGTAAGGCCTATGCGTGGCGGTTGGGGAAAACCGGCCCTATTTGTTCAGTCGGCTGACTGATTTCTGTATACCTAATAAATGGGTGAAAGAGTTAATCGAAACGTCTAAATTAATTGACAAATGAAAGAAAAATCGATAAATACATAAATAAAAAAGCTAAAAAAAAGGATACTTTTAGCCTAGCCTTTAATTTTTGCGATATATATCGTCGAGCGTATCTGCGACATGTTACGAAACCGGAAATGATTGTTGGTCGCCGTTTGCAAAAGGTAAATCTAATGTTGACAAAATAAAATTTAATTCTCCAAGATATGATATCATGGAGCTTGAGAGACACGCAAAAAAATTGTGATTTGAATGGCCAAACAAGAGAAATCCAAGCAAAGGTTGACAGCATGATTAAAACAATAAAAATAAAAACGCATGTTAGCGGCTTTGCTTTTTGCGATATTTGGAGAAAAACAATTTCAAAATCACTGATCAAGCGGGAAGAAAGAGTTCAAGTGTCCAAAAATGAAAATCACAAAAAGACCCCGAGAATAGTCAAGGCTAGCAGGTAAAAAGCAAATAGGGTCTAAGTGTCATGTGTGTAAAAATAAAATATTTATTCAAAAGCCTTCTCTCAGCCACTTTTACCGCTGAATCTTGTGCAGCTGAGCGTCTCCCCTTTATCTTAGCTGGCATTTTGAGCGAGACCGCTCTGAAGTAATCACTGGATTTTTCCGTTGATCTGACGACTACCAAGTGCCGTGCAAAATAATCCTGCAGCGTTACCCGTCAAAAAACTCGTATCAACACAAGTGACGGACACTTGCTCTCGACACAGTTTTATCTGATCACTTTGCCGATAACAAAGAAGGAATCTCTCAGGTAAAATTACTCGATTGCCGAGGAAGAGCCATTGAAACGTTCAAATGCAACTTCACACCTCTTAATTGCGGTTAAACGTAATCGCCTTTGTTAGCGCTTCCTTCTACATATCCTTGACACCCTACTGGGCATCACAAGGCTAGGGCCCTCTCCAGAGCTGTCAATCAAAATGGCGGCACGCTTACATGCCTAACGAGTGGTCGGAAAATGTAACAAAAGCACGATTTTCTGCCCCTTCAAAGCACCCAAACAAAATATTTTTAGATGACAATAAGCAATGGTTCCATCTGATCGTATAACCGATAACAGGTAAATTTGCCAGCTAAGCATTTGACTAATAAGCCCTGTTAACCAACCTGTGAACGTTTTTGGCTGTTTTAACAGCTTTCTATATTGACGAGATAAGTGAATCGCTGCCAAGTATATCTCACTATCTGAGCAACCGATCGTTACAAAAGTTGCACCTATTGTTGTTAGGAATGTGGACTACAGCATGATATCAGGGGTTTAAGAGGAAATTGTTTGTTTGAAAGTTATCGCCTTTTGAAGTGAATAACCCATTGAAATATGGGCTGATTTAACGTAAAAGATGATAAAATCAAAAGTAAATAGTTTAAGACAATTCCCTGGTACCCCCCTGTAGTGCTTTCACCCAGCTTTATGAGGCCTTTTGAATCACTTGAATAGCTGTCTTGGTTATAGAGAAAATCCCAATACCGAAAACGGCATTTTTCCCCTCAAATTGGCGCCAGAGCGTCATCCGTTGGACACTGTACTTAATCCCCGTCTTTAATTGGCCTTTTAGGAAGTTTGTTTTAATTTTTTATAAAAACTTATAAGCCCAGGGCTTTGTTTCTATGACTTTGGTCCTTTTACTATCACCGGCCTTAAAGACCATGCATCAAAACTAAAGTAGTAGATATTTTGTCAGCGGTATTGGTTAAGGCTTGCGTGGTTATAACAAAAAAGTTTCAGCTGGAAAGATAAACTATAAGATTTTTGTAAAGATAAATATAAAAACATACTTACATTCGTACAAAGCATAATACAGTCCTTTAAAAGAAACACTCCAGTTACTGAAACAAATGTTTAACAATTGGTGAATACGTAATATAAAATTGCACAAAAAAACATGTTATTTGATTATCTCTAAAATCGATTAAGGCGTTCCTAGCTACTAGCAAAATCAAGCCCAAACATCGGTCTATAAATACCTTTAGACAAATTTGTCGACAACTTCCATTACAAGAAAAATGGCTAATGTCTCAAACCAAATATTTCAGTGGCCCGGCTTCTTTGCATTTATCTTTAGAAGAACAAGACTAAATATTTGCCGGGCAAACAGAATAATCGCATTTGATTCATTTAGTCCCTTATTAAGATTTTGGATTTTATACGCAGTTTTAGATTTTGTTTAACGGAAACATGCTTTCTGCTGAACAATATTGCCACTGGTCCGGGTACTGGATTGCATCACGGTTTAGAAACAACAAATTTGTGCTCCTTTGTTTTATAATTCTCTGTAAGCATTTATATCTGTCTAACCTAGCACATGTGTACACATGATTGATGTTTATGAATAGGTGAAAGGTTATTGGCAAGGCAACAACTATACACGTGGTCATGTACCTGGATCATGGTGTCTATCTAGGAATTCGTCTTCCATAGTTAACAATCCGTCATCATTTGTATCGACCCAGTCAAATACTGTGAGACTCCAATTGTCATGTAGTTTTTCGTTTTTCTTGGACCAGCTTCGTGCAAATTCGTCACGTGTTGATATTCCGTCCCCTTAAAGCCAGGATTAAAGAAGAGAGATTATTGAAGAAAAACGTCGAAGTTTATAGCCCAGGTCAAATATTTGTTTCAGAGGAAGAAAGAGAGAGAGAAATACTTAATTAAAGAGACATAATAAGCGCTTTAACGGGAAACGATATATTTAATACACTTTCAAATACTAAAATATTCTAATGGAATTGTAAACAGCATCGAGTGAATATGGCAATGGGTAGAAGAAGAGCAAAATGGTATAAACACAAGAGAGGGAATTTATGGTGAAGATACTTAAACACCACTCAGACGTCTAACATCTCAACTATATTTTGACACGACTTACCAGTTTAGATGCAACTTTTATGGGTACTGTTTGTTAAGTAATTTATTTTGCAACGTAGAAATTTTGTATGAATTTACTTAAAAAACACTTGGCATTTAAATAGTTCCTTACCATCCTCGTCTGTGGAATCGATCAAAGCTTGCTTTTCATCCAGAATGCCGTTCCCGTCGACGTCATAGAGCATGCAGAGCCACTTCCCAATTGCCATCGCAGCCAGTTGAATGTCTTGTTCTGGTATCTCTCTGGTCTTGCTATTAATATTTTATTGAAATAACGTTTTAGTGTGTATTATATAAAGAGGTATAATTGCATTGGTATCGGTGCAAACAATCAAATGATGCATAAGAGATAAAAATAATAATTAAAGCTTATAAGTAAAAATATTTGCAATGATAGTATGTCGATGTAAGTAAAATAAGAAGTTAAAAAACATTAAAAATATAATGTTTATACGTGGAAAAGCATACTGTTGGCATGACACTTGATGTCAGATTAAACAAGTAATGAATGTGTCATAAACAGTATTTTAAATACTCTTAATACTAGCACATACATGTAGATGAATCTAGAGAATACATGTGACCGTTGCGATAGATATACGCCTTTCTCTCGGTATGTATGACACATTCACGCCTGCTATTTGACACCTGGGCCAAGGCCAGTGACACTCATGGGGCACAGTCTCGGGTTTTATTACTTGATTTTAGAAAAGCGTTTGATTTAATAGACCACAATATTTTGCTAGGCAAGCTTTGCAGCTATGGAGTACCTCCAGTATTACTCAGATGGGTCCATGCCTTTTTACTAAATAGACAGCAACGGATCAAGTGTGGATCAGTAATGTCACAATGGTGCCATATTCATGGGGGCGTGCCCCAGGGTACAAAATTAGGACCTCTCCTTTTCATTACAATGATAAATGACATGGAATGTTTTTTACCAGCAGTAAAATATGTGGATGACACTACAGTTTATGAGACAGTTCACCAACCATCTCCAAGGGAAATAGAACAAGGTGCCAAACCTACACAATCTAAACTTCCCATAGCAGCCTCAAACCTATATGAATGGACAAAACAAAATAACATGCTAATCAATCCTAAAAAAACTGTTGAACTGTTTATCTGTTTCAGTAAAAACCCTACTGTACCTGATAACCTAATAATTGATGGTATAAAAATCGAACAAGTTTCACATGCCAAACTGCTGGGAGTTCATATCAGTTCTAATTTGAAATGGGACTTACATATAGAAAAAATTCTCTCAAAAGCTGCATCCAGACTGTATTTCTTATGCATGGTCAAACACGCTGGGGTGCCGAGACATGACCTCTTACAAATTTATAAAAGCAATCTCAGACCAACACTTGAGTACGCTTGTCAGCTATGGCATGCTGGAATTACCGCACAGCAATCTAAAGCCTTAGAGAACATCCAAAAAAGGGCTCTTCATATTATATACCCTGAACTCACTTACAACGAAGCAATGGACATCACTGAATTACCTACCTTGAAATCTCGGCGTACTGACTTATGCAAAAAATTATTTAATGAGATAAAACTGTGTACACATAGATTGAACCATCTTTTACCTAACACTCGTGTCATAGAAAAGGACCTAAGGAATGTTTATAGATATGTTTTACCAAAATGTCGGACAAAAAGATATAGAAACACTTTTATCCCATACTGTTTATATACGTGTCAATGATCTAGGTCTATCCATTAACTTTTAGCTTTTGAAAATAACAACGAATCACCATTTTTAACCTCATTATTGGTTTTATAACTTAGAATTTATCTCAAAGCTCTATTTTAGTACTACATCTTTATACTTTTATACATATACATTCAATATATGTCTTATATATTGCAAAGAACACAATAAACCTTTAACCTTTATCATTATTCACCCCATTTCCATAGATTAGATCGACCTACTTTAGATCGACCTAATTCCCTGGGGGTTCACGCTAAATAGCTGTCAGCCGGGCGGACACGAAAGTTAGTTACCCCTTACAGTAGTAGGCGGGACGGACATTTAAGTCGGATTATCTGAAAGTAATCTAGTGAGACTCCCCGCGGGGATAGATCGATCTAAAATCTATGGGAATAGACCCATTGTGTACACTGCCACCCTCTCGATATACCTGTATATATAAATTTATCGCCTACAAGTAGAACGTTGTGAAAAAAATTAAGATTTTTTAGGGACTTTAGTTTGCTTGTCATTGAATATTGAAAAAAAAAAGGGAAATACACCCTTCTGACAGTAAAAGAAGCATTTTAAAATTTAAAAATAAACTGTTTTCCATTCGTATCAGAAATGCCAAAATATCATGGAAACTAGAAAAGAGAGCGCAGACCTCCGCCAAGACAGCGATTTTTGATTATTATTGATTATTGTTTGGTTATTGATCCGGATCACCACCAAAAAAACTAATCATCTGTTCTTTGGCCCACTTCTGACAATTCCTGAAAATTTCATCAAAATCAGTCCATAACTTTTTGAGTTATGTTGATGAAAGACAGACAGAAGGTCAGACAGAAAGACAGACAGACAAACAGGGGTGAAAACAATATATTTTCAGTCAGCAACAGAAAACCCTGTTTTCAATTGTACAAAGTGCTTGGGCAAGATGAAACTTTCTGGCAATTTTTCTGGAGAACATAGGTTACGTTGTATTAGCCATGATGATGATGCAAAATTAAATACAACTTCGAATTCATTTTTTTTTTATATTTCAGCATGTTTAATGCACTTAATTGTACTATTACTTAATATCACATTGTATATACCACACTGTGCATTTGCTGTAAAGAACATAAACACGTACAGATAAGACAAGGAGTGCCACCTTCATATTGCGGGTTTTGGGAATATAACCACAAGGAATATAAATGCAGAACCGAGACAGAATGAAGCGTATGTGTAAATGAGATAAGGTACCACACGTCACGAGTATTTGCGTCTTTTAAGAGATTATTACAAAAAAACGAAGTTTTTAGAAAAAAACAGGGACTAACCATGAATGTATGGAAAAATTGTTGTTTACTCCAGGAAAATTCATATATTTTTTTTTTTTTTGCCAAAACAGTTACTATTCCTTCAATAACTAAGAATCAGCCATGCTTTTTGCTTGTTTTATTGATTAATGCAGCTACACTGCTGGTGTAATGACACTGAAGAGATTATTCAGAAATTTCAAAATACAAATCAAAACCTTTGTGTTAGTTTATCAGTCAGAAATATAGGTAAAAAACGAAGAAAATTTGACAACAAAATCGAATAAACTTTCCATATTACATAGTAGACAACATGTTTTGTTTTAGAAGATTGGCCGTTTTTTTATAATTGAGTGTTAACGATTTAAGTGTTGTTATTTTTCACTTTAGTTATGATTAACTTTAGTTAAGCTTAAGGCGCAAACAACTGCCGTTCATGCGGTCGCTAAATATCTTTCTACAATACTTACCTTTTCCCGTAAAGAATCCCAATACAAACAGCCACAACAATAAATGCTACTTTCATATTGCTTGGTTTTCTCGAAAAGTGTGGTTAATGCAACTGTAGAACACAGAAAGAATCAAGCATATGTATACTTTTGATACGCTGTTCGTGGTTAGCGCCTGGGGCTGTGCAATAGTCAGTAAGGTAAACAATAAGCAGCCAATGAAAATATAACTACAAATCACGTGTTACACTCACCTTGAGTTTCAGGGATTACTGTAGACCCACCTCCACCACGTCTATTTTGGCTTGTTGGTAATGGAGGAGAGAGTTTTCTGTGATCTCTGAAACTCAGGGTGCCTGCAACGTGACCGGTTTTGGCATTGGATTTAAAGAGAAGAAGACATATCACATGAACGAATTTTCTGTTCTGATCTTTTTTTTCGACCGAAAAATAGGCTGTTTAGCTTACCGAGGAAAAATACTTTTTTGTTGATATACATGTATCCTGTACCCAGTGAGCAAGCAGATTGCCAAGTGGTCACTTTTTTATTGAGAAAATAATAAATATAATGATGAAAACCAATTCTTGAACCAATTTTGAAGCAAGAAAAATACCTTCGGAATTCTGGGATACATTTTTCTGACTAGGGTCAAATGAGAGAAAATGTAAAGTTGAGGATTATTAATATGAATTCATTCAAATAATTAGATAATAGTAGTAACATAATACAATAAGTGAAAAGGCAATGCCACCCCTCGTAACCCATTCTACAGGTATATATAACTGAACTGCCTCAGAATGAAAACGAGCATATTTAGTGACACTAGTTTTCATTGTATTGCGAAACAAAAAGTTACTTTACACTAAACACAGTTCACTTAAAATTGAAATACATTAAATATCACAATAAACGTACCCGTTAACAACATAGACAAAATAGAGGCTAAAACAAAATGCATATAGCCAAAAGCACCACACTTAAAGTCACAAAGGCATGTTGTAATATAAAACCGAATTAAAAGCCCAAGCTGGCATTGCCAATTTCAAAAGTCACTAGATTATCACTTGTGATCATTCAATGAACTGACCTTGATTGGTTTTAATTTAAAATACACTGGTAAAAATTCATTTAGCCGTTTTTAATCGCTAAATATGGTACCGTGCCATATAATTGCTTCGTTTTGTCACCATGCAACCCAATTTCACTGCTGAATGCCAAAATGAACCCAAAACATCAATCATCGTCTGAACTCACTTAAATGTATAGTATAATAGCATAGGATTATAGGATAGAAAATTAGAAGAAAGTCAACTGTTTAAAGCAATGGGGAACATACTTCAATGTCTGACACATCTATCACTGGTATGATACTAGAGTGTATTAGTATGTTGTCTATACATACTCATTCCCTTGCGTATCAATGCGTTCATTACCGCTGGTTGTGATAACATGCTTGGTGCTTCACCATTTAAGCAAAGAATATATAATGAATTTAAATTTACTGTAACAACCTGTGATGACTGTCTTTGTCTATTCTAAATCCACACCTTCCCACTTTTGATTGCTATTAATATGTTGTTTTTTTACATTTATTTACTACGAAACATACATGTACACATGATATAACACCATATTATACAACGCATCATGACCGACTTTATGTTGGTGTAATTTTTTTATAACTGTTCAATATATACTCGTAGATTACTGTGGTTACACTTGTCCCCTTGTGAATACTGTGTATGTCATCCTTTATGAATTTAATATAAACATGTGTTGCATCACAAATGCACTATCACATCATGCTGTACACTATCACAAAATAAATAGATCTAAAGTCGACGCATTTGTTTATAAGCAATGAGCAGGGCTTCAGAAGGCCTGGGTATGGTGCCTGTTGGAATATGAATATGGACAGGGGTCGTAGGTAATCCACGATGTTTGCTGCAGAAATGTTTTCTTATACACTGGGATACTATAATATCTTTACGAGTAAATGACCATGTGACAATGGGAATGTTTGGTATATCGCAACCATTTGTAAAAAGTGTGTCAGTAATACTCGTTCGATTGAGCTAGTTGACTTCTCTTTCCAGACCTGCATGTTACGCATGTCAGAGTTGGTTACGTTGCAGTCACCCTGAGTTTCAGAGACCACAGAAAACTCCATTATCAATGTGTCCAAATAGACAAGATTTGGGTCTACAGCAATCTAAGAAATTCTGGGTAAGTGTAACACGTGATTTGTAGGTCTATTTCCATTGGTTGGTGACTATATTTACATGAAGTTAGTATATATAGCGTGGTGTGTGTGAGTTACGTGATCTGGGTTAAAGACTTGGGACCCATCCCCTATCAGTTTATACGTAAACATACATGTACTTCACTCAATATCACGTTTTAAAACCAATTGCAGTCACTGTGCTTTCTAAAAAAGCAATGTGAAGGTAGCACTTCTAATTTTAGCTGTATGTGTTGGCATTCTACATGTGGATAAGTAAATATTACAGAATTATTTTAACGACCGTATGGAGGGTAATTATTGAATACAATAAAGATATAGATATGCCTCTTAGGAAAATAAAAATGGACTATGAAATTAAACAACACAGGCAATAAGGAAAAAGATTACGCAGTTGAAAGGACTTATAAAACTTTCATCAAACAGTGGGCAAGTTTTATTAAGCAAAGTCAAGCACAATGTTCTTTTATATGTCGCATGTTAATCATCATTATAATGAATAATTATAAGGTTTTTTAAAGTAATTGCGTAATTGATGGGCTTAAACTTTGGAAAAGGCAGTGTAATTATTCATTGTTGTTCTTCCGAAACGATAAGCATATGTAAAATCGGGGTGACTGCAACGTTACTGTAATTGAAATGGATAGCATGCAGGTGTGGGATTTGAAAAAGAAGACAGATCACAAGCTAGATCACATGAAAGATTTCTCGTAACAATTTAAATATACAAATAAATTGTAAAGATAAAGACGAGGACTGCGTTTGAGCTGAACAGCAGGTGCTGATCGACTCCATAGATGTTTTAACATGATGTATGGTTACAGCCTGCACAAATGACATCTGAAACTGTGCAAAAAAAAAAAAAAAAAATTGAAAA